CGAATAAGCCTCTCATGATTTCGGGCTATGGTGTAGAACTCGCCCTTAAAAGAACTGACTATATAGTTATTGATGACCGCAAAGATGACGAGGAAACAACTAAATCCAAGACCGAGGCCAAGGTCAAGTTTGAAGACGAGGAGGTAGCTGATCTCAAGCCCCTCTCCACATCAGAGCTTTCTTCACTGGGGCTCAAAGCATCTAGTTTTATTATGCAGAGTGACAAGCCATTTGATTCCCTCATCAAGCTTTCACAAGACTTTCCAAAACATTCCAGTGCTATAGCTTCACACAACGTCTCTTCCGACTTCTTTGCGGAGCACAATTACAACCGCGGCAAATTGGTCCCCGCTGGTATCAACGTATGGTGGGTGAACGGTGTACAGATGATTGATCGTCAGATTGATGCTATAAGTATCCTGGATATCTTACGAAAGGAAAGAAGACTGATCAATGGTGTTCGTGATCTTGGATTGACAGGACCTGAAGCTGTTCAGTTGCTTTCCCATTCTAGCATTTCCGAAGCTAAGAGTGATGGAGACGTCCAAAGATTTGATTGGAGGGATGAGATTGAGGGAGGTAATGTTATCATGTGGTTGAATGATATCGAAAAGGATAAACGCTACCAAGAATTTCCCCAGACTCTTGGCGCTTTACTCCAAAGAACATATCCTGGCCAGCTACCTTCAGTCCGCAAGGAAATTTTCAACTTGGTTATACCAGTGGATTTCAGCACGATAGAAGATGTCGCACTCGTCGCTGAAACACTTGCAAGCTTCGTCAAAAGGAAGTTAGTCCTCCATATCGGGCTTGTTCCAATCACCACTTCTCCAGCTGCTGTAGAGCAAACAAGAGTCTTGTATCATCTTTTGGATGTTTATGGACTCTCTGGAGCTATTGCTTATCTCGAGGCTTCCGTCGTGCATGGGGCAGCTAGCCCTACTGAAAAGTCTTTCCAAGCCGCTATCGAGGGTCGGGAGGTTCGAGCAGAGAAGATAGCAATTCCTCTTGTAGACTTGCTGAAGTCAGATCATTACAATGATCAAATTGATGCTGCAAGCCGCTGGACCACAAGACTATCTGCGAATGGCGACTTTCCACCAATCTTTGTAGATGGAGTTGCGCTCCCCAGAGACGAAAATTGGTTGCAAGCAATGGTTCAGCGACTCACCGCAGACTTGCAAGTGATTCAGCAAGGAGTTTTCAACGAGATATTCACCCAAGAATCTTACATCCCAGACTTCTTCCTCTCTGAAGCAACGCCACGACGAAACTCCCTTATAGTCCCAGAAAGCGACAAGAATCTGAAGATAATTGATGTTACCACTCTTTCGAAGCAACATGAAGATCTTCTTTCCAAATTGCCTAAGATTGGATCAGATTCGGCATCGCCTAACGAGGATTGGGCTCACATGATTTTGGTAGCAGATTTATCATCCGCTTCTGGTTTAGACCTCCTTTTATCCGCGGCTTCATTTCGAGAATCTGTTCCAGCTCTCGAGATTATCATCGTCCATAATTCCCCCGGTGAAATGGAAACATCGGATTTCAGCACCTATTTGTTTTCACATATCCAGAAGAGGTCAGACAAACCACTTGTGGACACCCAAATTTTGCCTAGTATAGTGAGCCCCGAAGGACCTGAATTGGATCTTACGACTCAAAATTCCGCAAGGAATTATTGGAAGGAAGCTGGTCCATTGGTCCGAGCTGCAGGCCTATCTCCAGGTGAAAATGCAATCTTGCTTAATGGACGGCTTGTTGGGCCAATACCTGCTGGTTCCGAACTTAACCAAGAAGACTTTGAGCAGTTGATCTCATACGAACGTGCCAAACGCATAACTCCTGTTTATGCTGCTATGCAAAGTCTCGGATTGTCAGATAAGATTGCTGATCCTTTAGCTGGTGCTAAAATTTCCTCGATGGTTGCATTGTCATCTGTATCAGATACACCCGATGGCATATTTGAGCAAGCACCAACTAATAGAATCAGTGCATTCGACGTTTGGAACTCTTCTTATACATCCATCGAAAGAGGAGATTCGTCAACTGCAACCATACATATGACTGTTACTATCGATCCAGCTAGCGAACAAGGACAGAAGTGGGTTCCAATCGTGAAGGCTATATCTGAACTTGAAGGAGTCTATCTTAAGATGTTCTTAAACCCCAAAGAACGTCTCCAAGAGCTTCCCGTCAAGAGATTTTATAGACATGTTCTAGATTCGAAGCCTAATTTTGACGACGAAGGTGCTTTGATCGAGCCTGGTGCCTCGTTCACTGGTGTGCCACAGGAGGCATTGTTGACTGTCAAGTTGGACATACCACCAGCATGGCTAGTTGCCCCTAAAGTTTCTATCCACGATCCAGATAACATCAAACTCAGCTCTATCAAGGCTGATGTAGATGCATTATATGAGCTTGAACATATTCTCATTGAAGGTCACTCGAGGGACATGCCATCTGGGAGTCCTCCTCGCGGAGCACAGCTCATTCTAGGAACTGAGAGAGACCCACACTTTGCCGACACCATAATTATGTCTAACCTAGGGTACTTCCAATTCAAAGCCAATCCTGGATTTTACAAGATTGATCTACAGAGTGGAAGAACATCCGAAATATTTAAAATTGATAGCATAGGCTCAAAAGGATGGGCGCCTGTTCCTGGTGATAATACTACAGAAGTTGTTCTCATGAGCTTTCAAGGAGCCACTTTATATCCTCGTCTTTCTCGCAAGCCTGGTATGGAAGGAGAAGATGTCCTTGAAGCTAAGGTTGAATCTGCAATGGATTACGTCTCCCGAGGATTAAACTTTGCGCAAGGCATCTTAGGTAGCAAAACAAAAGCTGCTGCTGCGGTGGAAGAACAGGCCGAGATCAATATCTTTTCTGTTGCTAGCGGTCATCTTTATGAGCGTATGCTGAATATCATGATGGTCAGTGTCATGAAGAACACGAAGCACACGGTAAAATTCTGGTTTATTGAGCAATTTCTGTCCCCATCTTTCAAGGATTTCATTCCTCATCTTGCCGCAGAATATGGCTTCAAGTACGAAATGGTAACGTATAAATGGCCTCATTGGCTTCGAGGACAAACCGAGAAGCAACGTGAGATTTGGGGCTATAAAATCCTCTTCTTAGATGTTCTTTTCCCATTATCCCTCGACAAGGTTATCTTCGTGGACGCCGATCAAATCGTTCGTACAGATATGATCGAGCTCGTAAATCATGATCTCCAAGGTGCACCATACGGCTTCACTCCTATGTGCGATAGCAGAACCGAAATGGAGGGTTTCCGTTTCTGGAAACAAGGCTACTGGGAGAAGTTCCTTCGCGGCTTACCATACCATATCAGTGCCCTTTACGTCGTGGATCTCCGCCGATTCCGCCAGATTGCTGCAGGAGATCGTCTTCGCCAACAATATCAATCTCTCTCTGCAGACCCAAATAGTTTGTCAAACTTGGATCAAGATCTACCAAACCATATGCAACAGGTTCTTCCTATCCATAGTCTACCGCAAGAATGGCTTTGGTGTGAAACCTGGTGCAGTGACGAGAGTCTTAAAGAAGCGAGAACGATTGATCTGTGTAACAATCCGTTGACCAAGGAACCGAAGCTGGATAGAGCAAGGAGACAGGTACCGGAGTGGACATTGTATGACGATGAGATTGCCGCTGTTGACAAGAAGAGAAAGGGAATTAATGTAAATGGAAACGAGAGTGCGGAGGGTAGAAATACGAAAAGTAGAACATTGGAGGAGACGGCGGATACAAAAACTAAGAAAGATGAGTTGTAGATGAGCTGGAATAGAGAATTAGTCTTCGTATGATGTGAAATATTACTCTATTTGTCTTGATCCCTTTGTTTGCGTGCTTGTTTGCTTCGTTTTCTTGATATTTCAAGCTTCATCATTGCAGTATTAAATGAGGAGTGTTAATAGTTACACAAGTATCATTGACTCAAGCCTTTGTATATTATACCTATGCTTTATTGTAACTGATCCCCGTGTTTTCATCCCGCATTGCCTGACTGCAGTACAAGAATGAAGTAAGAAATAAGTATGATTTGTATGAGTTCTGGAGCAATTGTTCATTACAAACATCTTGTTCCAGATATGCATCCGTTATATCCCAATCCATAGCCAGTAAGCTAAAGAATTGTATACCGCTTCAGCTCTATGAAAGACTCAGAGCTTTAGTCGCTTTGAGTGAACACTATATCTCTGCTTTTATACATAGATCGAAGCGTTGGCTATAGGATCAAAAATCAAGAGGAGAAAGCAAAGCAGATTATATCTGCAAAGCAAAGTGTAGAAGCATCTAGTGATTTATAAAAATAGAGAAGGAAGAGAAGTCACACTTAAATAGTAAACACTCAACAACAATAAGTATATGATATATATTCATTCAGTCTGACATTACCTAGCTCTGATACTTCCTGGACCCTTGTCCCTCCATTAGTATGCCTTTGAAGTTCATATGGAGTATTGAGCAGGCCAATTTTAGCTCTCTATATTGAAAGTACTTTAGTCACTCCTTGTCATGAACAAGTTTTTTTTTTTCCAAACATTGTGCATTATGACCAATAGAAACCAAATCAAGTTTACGTGTTTCTCCTCAGCATGATATATGTCAGTCATAGTTCGAATTCACCTCTGCTGAGTGCCTGAGTATTCAATAGAGGTTGGAGGTCCGAGCACATTCCTCTGGATTTTTGGCTGGTTTAAAAGAGCTGTATCCAATTCAAGAACCTACAACTCCAAAATTCTACTAAAACTTGGACATCTGCAAACCAAAGTTATGGGTAGCACTATCACTCTTTGAGATTATACAAGTTTCAAATTTCATCAACAAGAGTAGAATTGTGCTACTGAACTTTGATAAAGGATACAAATTATTTTGGCTCAATCCAGAGGACCATCACAACTTACTGTTACCACTCCTGAATTTCACAAAGAGCTTACACAGAACGTTGAGTGAAAGGTCAAACATAATTCAATATGCCTTTCAGGCCATTTTTCGTGAGTATCTCCTTTTCCTTCAGAAGCAATTTCAAATCTTGTCATCTTTCAGGTCTCTTGACTAATTTGTTCGTAGCCGTTCAATCAGGACCATCCAGCCTTTCCTGCTGAATTGCGCACCCATCAGAAAAACTTCTCGTCAAGGAATGCGGCAAGAGGGGCTACACCCATTCTCCAAGATGATCGGATGGATCATAGCTTTATCTTCGAAAAAGGATGCCGCGAAGCTTTTTCTGGATTTTTCCGTCACGGATCAAAGGACTTTTGTCTTGTCGAAAATATGAACCCTAAGCTCCTCACGGAGTTGTTTTTCGAGATCAAACATAGTTCTCATCCTTCAGAACATGCAGATATCACAGCTGCAATACGAGGCATTCGCGATTCGACCAAGTTCTTCTTCGTCAGCTGCGACTATCATGACCCAGAGCATATTATTGTTCGCACGTATGCCAAGTTTAGGAACTTCGATTGGAATAACCAGTCGCAGATTGATAATCTCAATCTCTTTCGGATGGCAGCTATTGCGGAGGGTTGTGGCGTCTTTGCTTTTTCTGAAGGCGGCAAAAACCTCCCTCCCTCTGAGTGGAAATCGACGATTGAGGTAACACCTGAAGAGCAAAGTTCAAAGAAGCTAAAGGTGTCTACTATTGTAGAGTCTTCAACTAATGACATGCAAAGTGATACCCGCGTCTCAAACAGCTCTGAGGCACAAAGTCATGTTATAGCTTCCATACCTGTGCCTGTGGCAGCGCAAAATTTGCAAGCACATCCGTCGGCACCAAAGTTCCAGTTTCGACCAACTGTACCGCCATTTCAACCAGCTACTTCCATGTTTCGGGTCAATGACAGGCAGTCCCAGTTTTATGCCGGACCACTTGAAAGGAACCGAGTTCGGGGAGCACAGCGCGTTGGGCAAGGGCTGCAGAGTCTTATACACCCCGGAGGACATGTGCCGCAACCACCCGTTCAATCAGATCGCAGTCATAAAACATCACATCAGTCTAACCAGCGGCAGGTCAGCAACCAAGGCCAATATCCAGGATCTGGAATGAAGCAACAACATGGTAAAGTTGCGTCTCCTTATTATTCTCAGCAGGAGAATATGACCCGATCTCAAAGACAGGCATCTGGGATGCGAAAATTGGCTATGTATCAAGGAAATAATACTTTCCATTCTCTAGGGCTCGGAACGTCAACACAACAGACACAACAAACCTACGGACATATGCCCCAATATACAACAACACAAAACTACACTCCACCACAGGACCAAAGATACAATTTGCAGCAGCAGCATTATCAGCAAGGCTTCAACCAGTCTCATGCCCAAAGTGATGTGATGGATCAGCGGTATAACCAGAAAATCCCATTACAATTCAAAAATCAAGTCTGTGGAATGTATCAAAAATATGGTCAAGGACAACAAAACTTTGAACAGCATCAACTTCATGGGCCTTACGCACCTCGCCAACATGTTCAACGAGATAACAATGACTTCCAGAATCTTGTGAGCCCTCAGCTAAATGCCCAACAAAACTCTGCCAATCTCCAGGCCGAAAGATACTGGAGACCCCAGCAAGCACGGCAAGTTCAATATCAGTTTGAGAACCTAACCGCTGCAGACTTTCAACAGTATGAACAAGACAGTGATAATAGCCAAGATTAAGACCACAGAAAGTTCAATCTGCACCTGAACAAAATAATCTGGACCCTCTTTCTGAGTCCGAGTACTGAATGCGAGACACGGACTTCTCGGAGCAATACAAAAACACTTGGGTCCAGATAATAGTGCAGGCGCAGAGGTGGGTCATCAAAGTGCTTTAATCTCCATATTTGAATGGGATCTGTCGAATGACTCCGTCGATATTCTTATGAGTGTCGAAGAGTCTTAGAATGTGTGGCTGCTGTTATATAATGGCTGCTGGCGATTTATTGGTCCTTTGAAGGATATGTATAGCGTGGGAGGAGGTGATCATACTAAAAAAAAAGCGGATGTTAGTGATGTGAGCTTTCATGGTAGCCAGAAGGGGGAGGCAAAGAAATGGATCTAAATAGACCTGCTACTCTTGGCGCAAGAAATTCCAATTTTCTTGTTTGCTTCTACCCAATTAGTGTTGCGTTTTCCCTCGATATCAGGTGTCAAATAGACTTTGAGGTGGTTGCAGCAGGATACCAGTGATGGGAAACTTCTCAACAGGGCCAGAGAAGATTACTGGATCAGAATATACATAGAATTACTCAGATCAGCCGCATGACAAGGTCTTTACTTACAAAGGTGGTGACTTTATCGTGTCGTGTTATGCAAAAGTTTCATAACTTCGAGAACTCCACGTCGTTCACATATCTCCCAGTGACCACAATTATAGTGAGCTTCATGATTATTTCGGGTCTTTCAGAAATCACCAAGACAAAATTGAGTGAATTTGCTGTCCCAGCCATATCTGACTCGAAGCGAAATCCCGTGACTTTTGGCAAAGCATTGCACAATTGAGTTTCTCCCTCCTCCCCTCTGCCACGGCAACCAGTCTTTTAATGTCGGTTTTACAACCACAGTCCTTCGAATTGCAAAATCAAGACGAGTTTCTCTCTCTTGTACATCTCTATTTCGCAATACAACTTTTAATAATTGTGGTCAGCGTTGCCATTACTTGCACTTTTTTACTTACTGAGAACCTGGTCTCTCCCCTCTCCACCGAAAATTTCACGCAAGTTTGAGCACAATAGACTTTCATAGCACTAGTAGGGCATCCTATGATGATAATCTTCTGTCTCTATTGTAGTCGGCTAGATTTGCTAATGATGCCTGAAAAATAGCAGCCCATTCTGGCAGGAACCGATTGTCATCAAGGCAGAGCAAATCAAAACTATCCAAAACAAACTCGAGAACTGGCGCATCACGAAGGCTTCAGCTATTTAGCGCGCAAATAAAAAGCAACTCAAGTTTTACACAAACTACATCGTTGTTGGCCATTGTCAGAAATTGGGTTGCCCTTCACGTTTCAAATACTTGTTCAAACCAAGCAATTTGAGTTGCACAGAATTCAACATACAACCCTCACAAGCAAGTAGTCCTACTGAATTTATAATCAACAGACTCATTATCAAGTGAGTCCAATAAGTTACTTTACCTTTCATCATGCTAATATGGCTTCAGAACGTTTTGAGCGCCTTCACCAGAAACAATTTTAACATCCTCTTTTAAAACTTTAAATTACTTCAAATTCATTATGTCTCCACCTCAGATATCCGTGGATATTGCCATGACCTTAATTGTATGTTGGCTATGATATAAAATGTATCGTCGAAAGAATTACATACTAACTGATTTCTAGAGGAATGGCGATATTGATTTTCTCATCGGCTACAGAAATTCGATCCCTGATCCAAGATACTTGACAATAGAGCAAAGAAAGGACGTCACCCCCGCTGTATTGGGAAATGCAGAGCCTCATAAATTCATTTACTTTCATTTCAGAAAGGTCGACGACTCAGTAAGAACCAACCAAATTATCATGCATAGATACCCCAATGCTCGCCACCACGATTGGGATAATCAGGATGATATCGATAAGCTTAATGTGTTTAGATTTGCTGCCATCACATTAGCGATTACTGACACTGATGTTTCAGTTGGAGAGAAATGTTGGAGCGAGGTATCCTTATCATTGAAAAGAATGTGGTTCCCAAATTTGATAGAATTTGTTGAAGAACGCAGAGCTGAAGCTATCAGACTTTTGACTCAGGGGACCATCGATGATGACGATGAGGACGATGATGAAGATGAAGAAGAGGATGAAGATGATGGAGAGAATGGAGATGAGGGTATTTTTTCAGGACATTCCGAAGAATTTGAGATCGTAGCTGACATTCCTGAAGTTCAGAATCACTCTAATACTCCAGTTCACAACGCAACTCAAACTGCTCTCGCATCTTCCTCTAACATCCCTGTTGGATCACCAATTCTGAACCCAGAATTAAGCTCTGTTTCCACACATAGCGGTTCGACAATCCTACACTCCCCATTCATTGCCCCCCCAGTGGTTGATCCTCGAGTATTGAGTATACCTGCAGAAGTTGAATCGTTGAATCTCAATGACGACCCTGATGCAATGGAGTTTGAGCTCCTTAATTCTGTCAACAATGAGGGCCATGGAGGGTGTTCATTGAAATAGAGAGCAAGATAGCTGTGGGTGAAGACAAGATTCGTGTGTGTAAATTTACCCAGAACCCAACTTCTGATTCAAGCTAATGTCAATTTCCAGAATAACAGAAGCTTGCGTTGAGAAAGTTGGATGTACTGGGATCTCAGTAAATCTCCAACAAAGTTCGAGAAACATCCTCGGTCTTTGTGCGATTCAATCCTCTCAACCAAACCTACGTGTTGCTCAACTACCAAGGTCTCACCATCGGCCGTAACATTTACACGGATCAGCCTCAAATATTCTGCGAACTCAACAGCGATATCCGTCCAGTTTCAGCAAATTCCCTCCTCAAAAAGCTTTCCTACAACAGCCTCCGTTCCATAAGCCCTCGTTCCTACGACATTTGTTTTTGGCAATATGATGTCTAGGATAGCACCTTTTCTTGATAACAGTCCATGGCAAAGTCAGAGAAAACACTAGTGTTGGCACAGCGAGTTCACTCCGGGTTGGCTTTTGAATGTTGTTTTCCTTTTTTGTCGGTTTCTTTAATTTCCTTGATAATAATAGATTTGGTGGATTTCGTTCCGGAAAAACTATTGGACACAGACATGGCTTCGTTCAGACCTTCTATCAAAGGTGCTGCTCCTGTGTCAATATTGCGTCCTCGTGACGATGCTGGATCAACACGCCCTTGACTAGATTGCACTTGTTCGTAATCCTTCCGGGAAGTCATCTTAGCTAGGTAGTTTATGGAATAAAAAACTTCTTGAATCAAACAGGCTTGCACGGGTTTTCAGCTCACTCGCTGATAACACATGACATGAATTTTATGTGATTCTGCTAGAAGTGATAAAAGCTGTATACCAAGAAAAGAATAACTGACTCTAAGACTGATCACCTCTAGGTAGGATTGATGAGCAGCCATCTTTTCTGTCCTGTGAGCTCCAGAACGGAGCACCTCAAATCGGGGCTTGTTTTTCAGCATACTAAACCAAGATATAAACAGTAATTCTATTCTAATATATATTTACATAAGTAAGTAATTATTATCATTAAACTCTGAGGTGTGTAGCGAGGGCTAAGAATTTAAACAGCAGGTCCTCTTCCAATCCAGGTACGATAACTTCTGAAAGGACCTCTTCGTTTATCAATATTCTTATACTGTCTACCAGGAGCGAGTCCTTGTTGGTTAGTAGTAAAGTATAGCCATCCATCCAAGATGGCCATTGTATCAGCAGCCTGTACTTGACCACCACGGACGAGGGTCTTGAGGTTATAGTTCGCAGCTGCTACCATGCCTTCGCCACCGGCTGGAACCCCGTTCACCTCATCGGTGACCTCGGATTGAAGAGTGTCGGCGTAGAGAATAGCGTTTTGCTGCGGGTTGAATTAGTAATGGTGCGGAATCATAGAGTGTGAGGAACTTACAGCAGAAGCACAAATGTATACTCTTCCACGGTCATCAGCCGTAAATCCAGCTTGCTCAGATGGGAAGTTTCCAGGATTTTGGACCACAGCTTCGATCTCTGCGTCTGTCAAGTTAGAGATGAAAGCTTCTTGAGACGCAAAGTACCAGTGGTTAGAAGCCTTAACACCCCAATAGACATTACCCCCGGTCAATGCAATACCGTTAGTTCCAGAGTTGAGATTTGAAGAGGTAGTGCCGGCCCAGTTTCTGATGACTTCTCCATTGTACATGGAGATGAAATGTGGGTCAGGAGTGGTGAAGGTACTGTTGAAGAGATGTCTAACGGTAGCTCCAGTATCGAGGTCTATCGTTGTGATAGAACCGTATGCCGAATCCTCGGTAACGAATGCATATCCGGCGGTACCGAGAGTATTGTTGACTTTGATATCGTTCAATTGGATCTTGGCATAGTAAAGCTCAGGTGGATAGATGTAGTTACGGATTAGCTCTCCGGTGGTGTAGTTGAATGCCATAATCTTAGCTCCATAGGTTGTGGGGTGGGAACTGAGTGAAAGTCAGCTGATGTTTCAAACTCCAAAAAAAGCATTGAAACCCCTTGAATTCATAGACGAAGAAATATAAACATGAACATACGCTCCATTAGGAACTCCACTATCAATAACCCAAAACGTGCCTTCCGCATCCAAAACTACATTCTGCACGTTGACAAAGCACTCTGAAGCATTTTGGCCCGCAGCACAATTTTGCCATTCAGCTGATGGCCAAGGAGCTTCACTATTGAAGCCGGTAGCTTTTGTAAGAGTCCAGTTTTGTGGCTCCATATTGCGTGCATAGGTGAAGAAGATATTGCCATCTGGATCCAAACCTAATCCCGTGGGAGCTCGTACGTATTCATGAACGGCTTCCAATCCTGGCCCGATGACATCCAAATCGGCGGAACATGCTCCAATGGTGGTGAGATCGGTACGCTGTTGTGATAATGGAATTGGACAGGTGCCATTGATGGTTTGAGCGGCTGCTGTTGCTGCAAAGGCAGCTAGAAGGAGTAACATGCTCACGGTTCTAGAATGGTCGCGTATGAGCAAAAAAAAGAAGGACAAAGAAGCACAAGAAAACACACGGTCTAAGATCCGAATTCAACGTGATTAGACGGGATGTATGTATTTATTTGAATATTTGGATATGGCTGCGCCTACAGTTATGGCAATACTGCGGCACTGAAAAACTTCGGCATTCCGATTTAAGGTTGGTGATGATGATATTCGGAACTTGGCACTCGCTTGGCGTATTCCACAATTTATTTAGAGGCGCCGGCGAACCCTCCACGGCCACTTGGCGCATGATATTGTGGAATACGCTCAAATTAATCAGGTGGACGAAGCGGTTTACTTGGGGTGGATCTCCAAACACCTTGATAGATAAATTGGAGAGAAAATTTTTGGTCCCAAGGGATTGGCAAACTTTCTGCGATATTGTATATATTAAGTGAACCCGCGTGTTTTTTGAAAGAACTGTCATATGTTTCGGAGGTTATCTTCTGAGTAAGATAAGGTTTGCTTACTTGGAATTTCTACGAAGCTCAAAGAGGGCATAGGCTGCGCCAAGTGGATGCTGTAGACTAATAGAGCTAATTATTAGCTGCGACCCCTTTTTCATGGCACTCAATATCTGCTCTTTTCCCAACATTTCATGTCAATTATATCGTTATGTCATAGACGTGCAAAGTGTTAATACTCCGTGATTGGGAACCACTCCCGGAAGCAGAGAAACATTTTCGCAGTTTTGGTTTAACTAAGCCTCAACATCTTGTTTTCTCATATAATGGAGCACCTGATTCAAGCTTCTAGTGGCCCAAGATTGCCTAAGCAACCCCCTTCCTCAATCCCCTGATTGCTTAGATTTCCAAAGATCAGAATTCTCGGATATTGCCCATAAAAAGGAATTGACGAGAGGCCATTCGATCACAGGTACCTGGATCTCAGGATCGAGAATAGTGGAATTGCTGTTCGGTACTGGCTGCCGAACACGTGAAGCTCACGAATTAAATTCGGTGGATACTGAGTTGAGGGATCTGCTGTTCGAAGTGGACAATGCTAAGAATGTAAAGAATCTGGGTAGTCAGACGAAACAGTCTTTAGCATCCTGATTTTCAAGGAGATAAATAAGAAATCGTTGATTGTGAAGAGCAAAGTAGCTCATTTATATCTTGTGTCACCATCTCCGGTTCTCCAGAGATAAGAGGAAGTATTTGGAGGATAACGCTATTTGATAAAGATCTTTCTTGTGAAGGCTGTGGTTCCTGTCTTGTTTTCTCCGTACTTTCTTTATTTCGATCCTTTCGGTGTATTCAATCATGGTTCGTGTGCAAACTCCGGGATTCAATAATAATATATATCCGTCTTGTACCCAAAGATTTGAAAAGTGAAGTCATGGACTCAGAATTCAATACCTACTCGTTGGGTTTTATTGCATTGCAGCTTTGTACTTGAAAGGGGGATTCCTGATCGTAATTCGGCAAATACATAACAAAGATGAAATAAGATAGATTTGACATAGCTCTGCAAATTATTTACTTTGGATGCTATGAAAGGCAGATTATGAATCTACAAGTGAAATAAATGAATATAAATGATGATTGCCTAGGTATTCTTATAGAAATCTTTTTGATATTCACCCAGAGTGCTGTTTGTAGAAGCTGGCCAGCTTTGTTAACTATTGGACAAATCAATTTTATCTGATGTCATCTCAATCAACCAGAACAACCTCCTCCTACCTACATTTAATATTTAATAATGTTAGAAACCACAATCACCACAAATAACTCTATCTAATTCCTTTCCTGACTCATTTTAAGAAGAAAACGTTTGTATTTGATAACATTTAGCTCGAGTTAGTTTCCTACAGCAGCTGTGAATAATGAATCCCTGAGCATACTGTCGTCGACCTGCCGACCAGCTGTATGCCGTTTCAGAATAAAATGGCCGTACCTTTATTTATCTATATAAACAAAAGACCTTACATCCTGAGAACTTCTTTATTTCATCAGAAACTTTTACATCAAGTACCTGAGAAATATTACTTTCAAAAAAGGCTTCCGAGAACGAATCTTTGCACCACACTGCCTAGTTCATACAATCCTGTCGTATTTTTGTACTTGCAACATACTGTCTTTCAAGACATCTATCATCAATAAGTTAATTCATCTATCATCAATAAGTTAATTCGGGACATCAACTTGTAAGCATATCCTACTATCAAACAAAGACTTGAGGATCTACCCAGAGTTCAGTATCGAGGCACTGCTCTCAACTGCTCCATACTTTTTATATTCACTAACGGTAATAAAGAGTTAATCTAGATCAGCATGTCCCAGAAAAAGAACCAAGAGCTTCCACCAACCAAGGCACCCCTGCCCCCATTCGGTCAACCAGGGCACCAAGGAAAATCCGCTCTCCTTCGCGAGAACTTTCTCTGCAACCTTGCAGATGCGATAGTTCCTACTGGTCTTTTCAGTGATCATAAGAGACATCGCCGAGATAGCGCATATAGGGCGGGGGACTTCAAGAAGGCCGATGTAGAGGCTCATGATGAGGAGGATGACTGGGTTAACTTGATAGATAAGACTGTCAAATCTGGTCCTCTGCAAATTACACCTCGTGATGTGAATTCTGAAGAGCGTCGTCGCAGTCCTAGCATGAGCAAGTCTCCACCGATGAGTCCAGGTTTTAGCGAGGCTAAGCTCAATGCGAGATCGATCCAGGATGCATTTGTTGCCTGGGCTATCACGGGTGATACCGATCTGACTCCTGCCGTGCTTGGTCAGCCCGACAATTCCAAGTTCGTTCTTCGCCGATACGATATTCGGGATCCAACCAAGATCGAGAAGAAGCGCATCGACTTGAATATCGATGAATTTGACTGGAATAACAAGGAGCATGTCGACAGACTGAACAAGGCTCGTCGTCACTGGGAGATCAATACCCTGGAGTCCAACCCACAGACCAGTGGAAAGTCTCGGTAAGCTTCGCATAACCTGAGTAATGAGAAATTTCAAATTACTGACGATAACCACTTACAGCGTCACCGTTGATGGCAGACGATCTCCGGTCGACACTTCCGTCGGAAGCTGGTCGCCTGGCGACGAGGAGGGGGATGGAGACTTGATTGACCTTTAGAATGCCAGGATTTCGTGGGAGATGGGTTGCGGGCTGTGGTTGAGTGTTAGACGCGTCGAATTATGATGGAAGACATGAACAGGACAGTCTATTCTAATATTATAAGCACAGGGTCATGGGGCTACAGGACATGTTTGACTCATTTGATACCACGGCATTTTACGGCGTTTGGACTGTTTACAGAGCGGGTTTTATACAGATAGAAATTGAGCTTCAGTGCATGCCATTTGTGTCTAAATTGACATGTGACTTATTCTGTGATATGACTGCTAGTAATGATGTGCCTTAATAAATCTCTTAGAACCTCGCATACATTGCCGACAGATAAAGCTCAAAACGATCAAAGTTAGCTTGATGGTGAGATGAAGGACTGCCAGATGCGAAATCTCAGTGTATAGACAAGCTGCTCATGCCAAGAAAGCTTCCTATTTTCCACCCCAATAATGATTTCAGAAACGAGAATGATCTCTCGCTAGGTGCTAGATATTGCTTTCTGAGTCTGAGTTCGACTCGACATAAATCTGTTGTCCATACAAATTGGCGGGACACGCAGTAGGAGTGTAAAAAATGGGACGATAAAAGAGAGAATTCGCGATGAGGTGGCTGTGAAGAACTTTACAAAGGACGGCTGGGTATATAAACAGAGATGAATCAGAGAAAGAATGAAGAGGTGTATATAAAGATGGGGAGATAGAAGAAGTGGGCAACACTGAATACTAGATTTCAGAATAAGACAAATGCAATAGATACACTGCGAGAACTTGAGCCAAATCTCCGTGAAGCTTCTCCTTCTAACATAATTTTAGACAATCAAGCCCCCTTTAACGGTGGATCTGGTTTATAGGGGGGTTTTCTTTAGCATAGAAGCTTGGCAGAATATGTGCTTCTCCTCCTGTACCTCCTTTTGTCTCTACCAGCCCGGAGGTATGAACATTCAAGCATGCGTAAACATGAGTGATATGAGCCCAGAATCAAATAAGCTGGCGGTTATTGATACTGGCTTGGAATTGTGGCCCCCTTCCTTCTCATTGCCTCCATACATAAAATACGAGTAGGTCGTAGCCTCCTCTTGAAACGCATCTTGTACTTTGGAATAGTGATGTACCCAGCTCCATCTCTGTGAGTTAGGATCTAGGATATGCCAAAATCTAGAACCAATTCTGTCTGAAATGCTTTGAGCTCCAAAAGATACATTGCACTGATTAGTCAAGATTTTGACATGAGACAAGGCGAGGCTCACATAGATCATTTCATTGATCTCAACATCTTAAAGAACCTGAAGACCCAACATGAGTGTCTGTGTACATCCCACATACACTCGAAAATGGTGAATGAAAAAGATAAAATCTGAATTCATCCTCGTGCTGACAATATCCATACATTGAGGTGGAACGAGAATAGAGATATCAAGGTATTCAACCAATTATGTTGGCTGGATCATGTATAATTAGTGAGAATAACAAAAGCAAACTGAATACTTCTTTCAAATTCACTCAAAACAGAAACAACTCTACCATCCCAACAATCTACAATATTCACTCTTCACTTTCTCTAAGAATACAATTGTTTCTACATATAATATTCACATAGCAACCACCGTACCAATGGCGGGGTAAAGGGTGATGACTGATTCTACCGAAGAAAAAGATCTTCTATCAAGTTCAACATTGATACAAAAGAATCCAAAATATTCATCTTTTTCAAATTGTTCCTTCCTCAGAATAACTTCTTCCACCCTCACAACACCAACACTTCGACCTCTTTTCAACTCTTTCTCAACAACAATTCAATCTTTTCCTGATATTGGATTTCAAATTTCTTTCGTCAGCAGCAACCTCTTTCACACGATTGAGAATATCCTCGAAGTTTCCAAAGTAAATTTATCCTTCAGTAAGCGCATCGATTACTTTCCAGCTCTTTATATGCTATCTCTTTCCTGTGTCCTTTGCCTATCCTCATTCTTTACTCATGTAAATTGAAGCACTTCTCATAAAAGCACTTCTCTTCCTGCAGAATACACTTCCTCCACTCTCTCTACCCTCGCGCTTGCGCAGATAGATCACTCTCCTGCATTGCACTTAGCTCAATCACTCTTCACTTTTGCACGTAGAGCCTCGTCTCGTCGTTCAGTGCACTCTTTCTGGACTATCTTCTTCCCAATAATTCTGGCATATCATCATTTCGAATTCTTCCTGCGCTTGTGCATTCAATCTCCAATACCCTTCGTTGCATATCTGCATTTCTTCATTGAGATCTGCTACCCTGCTCCTCTGGCATAGCAAATTTGCACAAACACTTTCAATTTTCATCCTTGACTCAATTTTGTACGAGCGCACTTGACATTTTCCTGTCAGTGACATCACTCTTCGCACTTTCCCAACTCAAGATTATCTGGTTCACATCAGTGAACAGTCTTCTAGAGGTCTCGTTTATTATTTGCATCAGTTCCAAGAAATAGGCATTCACCTGAATTAATTGATTGAAGATCTCAAGTATTCATACTAATTCATTTGAACAATTAGCGAAAATCGAAATCCGAACGCAGACGAGAACACACAATGCAGAGTATACGAGAGATGGAACAAAACGGAGGAGAAAGCATGTCGGATCGTCCGAATTTACCTCTTTACAGAGGCTTGGATGTCCTCAGTGCCGCTGCTGCTTCCCAGGAAGAAGATCGAGCTTCTATAATTCACCTCAAAAAAGTCGAAGATGAACAGCAAAGATCTGCGACTCTTTTGGAACGCCTAGAGCAGAGCTCGGGCCGTGATGCTGAGAGCACTAGTGGTAGTAAGTCCAAAGACGCTCTCGCGGCCGGTATGAAAATTGCACACAAGACTCCCCTGCCGAGCGACCATAGAGACGGATCAGAAATGTCTCTCGATACAACACTCAGTCCCTTGCATTCTCCACATGTACCGCGGATTACCAAGGAGCAGCTCAACCAGACTTGTCCTTTCCAGCATAATCACTTGATCGGTAGATTCTGTTTTAATTGTCGATGTATGGAAATGCCATGGGGAGACAGACTTCCAGTGGCTCTCGATACGAACGGCAACAAAATCCAAGTTCCCCCACAAGGTGCATTGCTAGAGGGTGTAAGAGACTTGACCGAACCCTATGAGATTGCCCAGCTTGCTTTGCTTGTCGAATTTCGCATCATAGAACAAGAGCTTGCTACAGTTCCTGGCCTTGTCGCAACTTTCAAATTTTTTCCACATTTGCATGATGTTGCTCATAGAATTGCAAATATGGTCAAAGAACTTCGAACATTGGCCGATGAAAGCGAGAGTGAACGAGTACCACAATGGTTCGATACACTCCATGAGTTATTGAGAAATCCCAATTTAACCCACGACCAATACTTCGCACAGATAACTGGAGACTGGAACTTCCAAGCAAAGAATTCAGCACCACTCATCCGAGAAGCTCGAACCTCATCACGAGTATTCACCGGTATTCCAGTAATGCTCACCAGAGAAGATGCGATCAACTATGATAACAATCGCGACGGGCGTAGCGAAGCTGAGGCTCGTGAACTTATGGATTATCTCAATAGGAACGAGAGCAGAGGTCCAGGATATGTTCAATTCACGTTCGACTTCGTAAGTTGGTTAAGGGAAGGAGCGCATAGCACTGGTAAATGCGCGCCACAATGGAGTCCTCGTTATGCTCAAGAATACTACATGCATGTGTATCCCGCTCCTGCAATGACTCCCAGAACCAAAAACAATGGCGCACGATCGCGTAGTCGATTGGATTTCTCGAGTCGTCGTAACCCGACGCCCAAAACACCACGTTGTAGCGAAGAAGCCTCTGAAGTTGAGCTTTACGATAGCAATGATGACGAAGAAGAGCTTGAAGGAGCTTACTTCCGTAAGCTTCCAGAAGTCAAGAAGAATACGCCAGGTCGTGCCAATGTTACGTGGCGATTTGTCGAAGGAACAGACATCACAAATGCACAGCTCGGCAACCCTGATCCTAGCAAGTTCTACTTGACTCGTCAAAATGTCAATGATCCCGAAGAGGTTGATCTCCGCCAATATGCACAAATTGCCGGATTTGATTGGAATAATCCTGCCGATATCAAGAAGCTCAATAAGGCTAGGGCTCAGAATCGTAAGCGTACCCATGGTAATATCGCCGAAACACGAATTCCATGGACACAGTTAGAGAAAGATAAGCTCCAAGAGGAGGTACAAGATGCGATTAGGGTAGGGGAAACCAGACATACGATTGACTGGGATGAGATTGCAGATCGTCTCAGACAGAGATTCGATGGTTTTGTGCAGAAGAAGGGATCCAAGTTGGCACCAGGAGTCGAGAGAGAACCAAAGAATGGCAAGAAAGACAGAAGTAAGTCAAAATTTCTCTGATGTTGTTGTATGATTAAAGAATCTAGACTCGGAAGTTCCGGGCAACCATTATGGATTCACTTTATTCTTGAAAGAAGATAGCTGATCACCTATTTTACAGCTCTCAAGACCAGTCGCAGCGACCGCGTAGGTTACAACCGCACAGGCTCTGCAACCGAAACACAAGCCTTAAAATACCCCGACATTCTCAAGTTAATTAACGATGCCACTGGACTTGGTGGAAAGGGAGGACGTGGCGTGCTTAGAGGTCCTCGTCGACTCTCGCAGGCTACTGATGACGAGAAGAAAGAATCAAACAGTCGACCAACAAAGCAAGCTACGGACAGCCCCCATCGCAGCTTTTCACAGGCTATCGATGACGAACAAGATGAGGATGGCGATCCAACAGCAAAGAAACAAAAGAGTGGTATGGCTTCTGGAATTATGTATAATGCGCAGACCAAACAACCCAATCCGCTGGCAAAGCGAGCTCTTAACATTCCCAGCCAAAGCTTCTTGCCCATGTTTGATGACGTATTCGATGATAGAAACGATCGTCCATGGAAGAAGCCAAAGACTATCCACCGTCGCTATTCAAGCAGCCCGCCCCCACGTATGCTGAAGAAGCACTACGATGATGACGAGGGTAACGGACCACCACCTTCGCCATCCCGACCATCTGCATTGAACGGTGCGTTTGGGTCAAGGCTTCCCAAGAGTAGTGCAAAGCAGTTTGACACCACTTTAAGCAGGAAATAGTCTGTTTCCAAATTCATACCAGTGGACCTTCTACTCCGTCTTGGTGTCGGACATGCTTTCTCGCGCTCCTTCTTCAAGCATAGGGGCACCAAACAATGTTCTCGATATTTTGTCTTGCGTTTCAATAATTTCCAGTTTCCAATTGAGATATTGAGAAATACAAGACTTCCACTGCAGACTTTCAATATGTACGACTACTTTACCTCGATGATATGAATTCAGCACAATTTTCTCAGCGATTCAGTTTACGAAAAACACGCGCGAACACTTCCGCCAGCTATTTCCGCCTAACGGGGGACACTTCTCATGAAAAATGATGACACCAAACCCACACATTCGGCACTCGGCAGCTCTACACGGCACAAAATTTCTTTTCTTTAAGGGCATAGCGATACGGTATGGTACATAGTGATATGGATATGGTAAGCATTACACAAACCGATAATTTCGATGGTGTACATACAGCTCTTATGATCTCTTTTGATGCAATAGGGTTGGGATATGTATGATACCAAGAGATTATAGAGCGCTTTTACGAACATGATGTAATTTTCTTTTGTTTATTTAGGTTTAGGTTTAGGTTTAGGTTGTGCTTTATCTTTTGATAGCGTAGGATAATCAAATCGATAAGAGAAATCTTTTGATCCAAATTTGTGATGTGCGTGATGTGAGATATGTTCGATGTGTTTTTACCTGTAACGTTCTAGAGAAGTGATGATGTATATACATTTTATAAACACCACCCCTTTTCGTCCGCTTATGCACCCCGCTTTTGTGTAACGTCAAGTACCTATTCAGTCCTTCCACTTTGCTGGAATTCCTTCCACGCAGTTACTTGTCACTTCCATCTTTTGTAATAAGAGGTGTGCGTTTCTATCAAATTGGGAAAATCCTATAGACCCCACTCTATATATCCACGAGGAAAGAACGATAATGATCGAGACCCGTAATAAAAAGTAGAGTGGTAAAGATATGTAATTACATTTCAATATGCAGGCTGAGAATTTGAGAAAAGTTTCCAGAGCATGGAATGTTATGTAGATGATTTATTACATATTTACTTGGGGTTACGAGATATTGCGACGGCAGCTGAAACTTGGAAGAGGCGGTTGTGGAAATAGCAGCGGGAGATAAAGTACCACCTGTTAGGAGAATTTGGGGTTAAAAGTATCGGATTCTAGAGGGGAGAGAAATTGTTAGTGGAGATTGGGAGGCTGGATGGGAGGTGTGAGGTGTGAGGGATGTTGAATTTCATCGCAAGAATATAAGATTGAGGGAAGAGGACTTGGGAAAGAGGGGGAGGAAGTATGGTATACATACCGTGATTACTCATTGGGGAGATATATGCATGCAATTCTCATACTACCCCTAAATGGATGATAGCGAGATCGATAATTTGCAGTTCGTTCACGGTGAGTTGTAATAGGGGGATTTGGAAATTTGTATTATATTTTCAGAATCTATATACAAGAATGTAATGATTATGCGTGAGGTGGGCTCTGCGCGGTAAAGTCTATTCCTATTCCTATTCCTATTCCCATTCCTATTCCCATTCCTATTCCCATTCCTATTTCTCTTTCTCTTTCTTCTTGGAGTTTATGTGAGTTTATGCTTCCATCTCTTCCTTCACATATATACTCACATCTAAACATACAAACACCATCATAATCTCCTAATAATCATCCTCTTCCTCATCTTCCTCGTCGTCGTAATAACAGACATCATCATCGTCATCATCGTCATTATCGTCATCGCCAGCAGTACTAGAAGATGCGGCGGCGGCGGAAGTAGTGGTTGTGGAGATGGGGATGGAGGAGTTGGTGAATATTAAGGTTGGGACTGCGGAGGAGAGGGGTTGGGAAGTAATTGTGGAGATAGATATGGAGGAGTTGGTGTAGACTATGGTTGGGGCTGCGGAGGAGAGGGTTTGGGAAGTTATTATGGTTGTGTTGGTTGGAGAGAGGGTGGGGGTTAAGGTTGTGGTTGTGGTTGGTGTGGAGAGGATTTCGGAAGTACTGGTGGTTATATTGGTTGTATTGGTTGAGGAGATGGTGGGGATTAGGGTTGTGGTTGGTGCGGAGGTTTGGGAAGTAATTATGGTTGTATTGAGGATGGGGATTAAAGTTGTGGATACCGCGGAGGGGATTTCGGAAGTACTGACGGTCGCGTCGGTCGAGGAAATGATGACGACGGAACTACTGGCAGCGGCTGAAGGAATCTCTGAAGTACTGGTGGTTGCCGCGACTGAAGGGATTTCTGAAGTACTCGTACTGGTGGTTGTTTGTGTTGAAGGAATGGTGACGACTGAAGTACTGGCAGATGGAGTTACAGTCGAAGTATAAACGACTTCAATCGTAGACGTAATTGTCTCGTAAGAAATGTCTGTTTGTAACGCAGTGCTCGTGACAACACAAGGATTGGATGTATATTGCACAATGTTGAAAACGCTTGAAGCAGCTGGTGCTTGAGTAACTGGTCCATTTTTCAAGAAACATTCATTGATGGCACCAATAGTGGTGAACACAATTCCGTTACATGAACTGGCAGATGTTTTCAGATTGTTGAGAGCATTGCAGAAGGATACACAGATTGAAGTGGCCGCAGCCCCAACAGGTTCGACATAGGCACGAATAACGCTTCCACCAACGAGTGATGCGCCGCATTGCTGAGAATAATAATTGCCTCCGGTCAAGGACCAAACTGCGCCGGCCGAGCAAGTGCCTTTTGGGATTACACTATCTACATTACAGGTCGTCGCTGTAGTGATAACCGGATAGGCAGTGGTAATGGTGTTTGTGAATGTACTGAGGGTGGTCGATGTGACAGCAAATTCCGAAGGACTGACAGCTTGTCGTGGGGCGACGACAAGAGCTTGACTCAAGCCGGTTAAGGCAGAAAGAACGATTAAAACTCTCATATTGAATGGCTAAGAACAGTTTAAGGAAAGACAGATATAAACAAAGATAAATGAGTGGTTGAATTCAGAGAGAGAAATGGATATGAGATATCTAAAGAGAGATGATCTACATCTTTGTATAAAAATGATTGTGGGGAACCAAGTTCAGCTCTATAGTCCCAAGGGAAACAATAAGATTTGCGCTAAGTAAAGATAGTGCGATACTACTAGTATGCGAGCACGTTCTGGTCCCTTGGAGAGCAGGGTAAGATTGTTTGCGGGGCGAGCCGTGTTTTCTTGCCACGAGGTAAGCATAGCATTTGTATGTTTGTACACACCACATAAAGTCTCCTGCGATATCGTGAGTTATTTGTTGTTCTGGCCAGGATAACACTCGAGAGGATACCTTCTCTGGACATCAATTCGTTGCGTTTTCGATTCTTTCACTGCCTCCTAGAAGTTACTAGAGCATGTAGGGAACATATGGCGGACCCAACAGACAACGCGACCCCTGACTAGTTACCTGTATCCCGCTTTGAAGCTCTTCTCTATTTTCTTAGCCTCCAAACAACGGATGAACAATCCCATTTGAAGCGCCGACATAATCGCTTACAATGTCAAAACCTTCATTATTTCCCAATCCGTCGCTAGCTTCTATCCATTCTCAATGATCCGAAGAAAGAATACCATAGGAGAAGTGGGTTAATTCGTGAATGTTCACCGGAATGGGATATCTGTGGATCTGGGGCTGATTGTGGCTTGCTCATTCATTGCTCCTTAGTCCGTTTTGGTGGGAGTAGGAGAAATTTTTAAAATTGCAATACTTTTGTCCCGCGTCTAGATTTTTCGTTTGTTTTCCCCTGAATCTCCTCTCCACGATTCGTTGGGTGATCAAAGCGCTGGGATCGCCGTGATTCGTCGATCTTTGTATCTTGAGGCTTTGATTGGCTTGTTGTAAGAGGTGATACTCCCACATTTAATGATCATGTGACTACATCCCCTCGATGTAAATGTATGGGTCGTGTTGAAAATTTTATTTTTAAGCTTAATGAAGGAAGAAAGCTCCGAATGGAAATAAAGATAACTGAGTAAAGACGCTAGTTTGTCAAGGAACGAGCTTCAGGCAGGAGAATCTGAAGATGTCACGTTTCGGCTGAGATTCGGAACGAGGTGCATGGGCTTTCATTCTAGCTCACTTCAATCCGGACAATGAATGAACTTTGTCTTTTGATTTCGAGACCGACTGGACCACGTTTTCGTTTCCGAGTGCAAACTACTAAATTAATCCTTCGCGATGAATACTAGTGATTCAGCTGCTCAAATGCTGCGTCATAAATATGCAAGTTCTAACGAGAAAATTCAACCATATACCAATAAAGAACCCAATCGCGCTCAACTACCATTATCTAAACCCATCTTTGTACATATCTGCACCCTCTTATCGTCAGACCAATCTCGCCATACCGAATTGAGTCCTTCAAAGTAGCAAAACCCCATAGACCCTAAGAATTAAGCCTTGAATGGTGCAACGGAAGCTCTTGTGTTAAACTTGCTTAAGATCCTTAGTGTGGCAGTCCCATTATTGAAGATGTCCAGGAGTATATTTAGAAGAGAAAGAGTAGTGAAAGTTTCAATACAAACGTCAATGGCCATCGAATGAGAAACTTTATGTATCGTACTGATTTGAAATACTCATTGACTCTTCTCCGAGTTCCTACGTGTCATAGGATGGACATTACCCGAGGGTTTCTTGCCATCAGCTTGGCCTGATTTTCTTCGCTTCATGAGAGGCTCATTATCCGAAGAGTCATCAGAACCATCCACCTGCATCTTATCGGTTCGTGTGGAAGAAGATTCAACACCTGAATGCTCTCCCTTATCCACCATTTGCATTTCAGTATCGGGCGCGGCGCAAGCAGTCGTGCCGGCCCTGATGTTTGAAGGAGGATCTTGATGGGCACCGTGGATTATCTTAAGCACCTCGTCTACAGACTTGCGTTTGCTGGGGTGTTCTATGCTGTTTCGAAGTAATAAGTCAATATCACCAAACTTGGCAGCCTGGTTCATACAGCCAGATGCATTCCGATCGGAACCGGTTCGATCTTTTCTCATCTCGCAGCATCTTTTGGTTTTATAATCTATTCGTTGAGTCCCGGCGTTCCATTTACTTGGTATGGCAAGTGCGGAGCCTTGTTTTTGTGTGACTTTTTCCAGGTCGACGTTGATGTTGTGAGCAACTTGCTCCCATGGCATATTATGCTTTGTGTACTGAAGGTCAATGTTAGCAAATTTGTGCAACATAGCAATGCTACATACTACTTAGTATGAGTGAGAACACTCACTCCGTTTATGAGACCCTTGATTACTTGATGTCTCAAGAGATCCTTCTCAACTTGCGACCAAGCTAATCGAGGCGCGGTCTTTGGCCCATTGGTTCGCAGGATGATTTGATTCCTTCCTCTGTTCAAGGCATGGATAGCTTGCTTATCACTCCAATCAAAACCAGCGATATTTGGATACTCTCTGACGTTTATGACGCCTGGGTCCTTGCGAAGCTGACGAACCATGAAAAACTTTGACGTGTCCGGTGTAGCCAAACAAGCAGGCCTCAAGTCCTGTCCTGGGACAAACTGCCAAGGAGACATTTGGCGTTTGGTTTTGGAACTCCCAACTTCATCCTCGTATTCATCATCATTATCGTCGTCTACATCGTCTCCATCGGCTCCATCGCGACTAAGGAACAAAAGCTTTTTACCTTTAGGTATGTTCTCAATGTTATCGTAACCAAGGTCATCATCTTCCTGCTCCGGATCGTCATCTGCAATGGGTAAGGTAACTAGTTCATTGCCTCTCGAATCATTTTTAGATGCTGCTGGCACTACTTTAGGTCTGCGATATCGTGCTTTGAATCTGGCTAATGTCCAATCAGGATTCAATAGAGCTTCGTGCAATATGTTCCACCATCTTACTAAGCCTCTATCTAGAGAGTCGGGTGACGCCATGGCTGCAAAAGAGATATCTGCAATAGCATGGGCAGCAGCCTTTATTCGTCCTTTTTCTATCGTAGGATTAATTTCGACAGCCTCCTTCCACTTGTTTTCCAAAACTGCCCATGTGGCCATGGCGACCAAACTCATCTCATGAGCACTATCGACTTGAACGGCTTGTAAGATTGTGCCTTTTCGCCCCACGGAAACTGGCATTTTATTATATCGGGAAATTGGCATAAAACTGCCCCAGGGCATCTTCATTCCTTTGCAGATAGTGCAATACTGTCCAATCGCGTGGCTTGTTATGTCTCCAGAGATGCATGGTGGGCCAACTTCTGGATATTGCGTCGTGAGCTGTCTCGGCTGATTTCCTGCCTGTATTTATTGGTCAGCATCTATTAGTGAGAATATGAGGATATGGTGATAGGGTAAGTGGAAATGCTGTTGTAAATCATTCCTATCATAGAAAAGACCAATTTCTGAACTCAATGATAGCTTGGGGGAGAGCCCTTCAGTTGGAAGCAGTGATTGTGGCAATATCAGTCTCAACGCATCCGCTAACTAGGCTATGAATACGCCGAGATATATGGCTTTTCGAAAATTGAGGTAATAACCGAAACACCCAGTAGACATTGATTGTGTGGAAAGGGGCGGGCTATTTATGGTTCTAGTTGGAATGATGAGAGTGTTGTTGGCTGATAGTTCGACGATTGAGGATCCAGTACCAGTGCAGAGGTGATGCTGAGGTATGGCTGTGATAGCTCATGTCACGAGGAAATAAGGCACAGGGCGTGGCTAAATCCGAGGGCGGAAGCACCCCAATTGATGAGTCCGCTATAAATGGACATGCACATGGAAGACAGTAGAAATTTATAGACTCAAAGATCACACTGTATATGAATATGAAAGATAAACATACCATTCTGTTGTTTGGTTAGTTTCCTGAGAAACCATAAAGGTGTATCGATGTGACAAGGAAGCGACCAAAAGTGCAGCCGGGCACAATGAATCTTTCGCCAAGAAAAGAGGAAGAGAGTGGCAAGATAATATACTCTTTGCAGTCTTTTGCGGTTTTCTAGATCAAACAATCGCGGTTAATATGCTGAAAGAACCAAACAAAGTGTGCAACTTACGGAGGGGTGTATGTTTGTGGGATTGGAAGGAATCTTTGAAGCTGCTGAATGCAAATGAGTCGGACAAACAAGCTAGGAAAAGACCACAATTTCTTCTTTTAGAGTGCTGAATGATAGGACAGCAGGCTTTTTCAGGAGCGAGAGCGACAAAACAAGTTGTAGTGATCAATTAATAGAAGCAACCTGCGAGGTCTCATATGATTCCTGTATCTCGCTCCAAAAGTTGAGATTTTTTGGCAGCAAGAGGCAAAAGGTATAGAGTAAAACTGATAATCAAGATACAGAAAAGAAATAACAAAGGCTCCTGTGTATCTGAGGTGTGAATCAAGAAAGTGAAGATTGCCGTAACAGAAAGTGATTGTTGTTGTCCCAGAGACGAAGAATTCAGCATGTGAATATTTTTTGGTCGAATTTGGCGTTGGCGGAATGACAGAAATATCACCCAAGTTGCCAGTTTCTGTACAAGAAGCTCTCTCAAAAGATAGAATACATATGGTCCTTCATCGAAAGGCTTCACTATTGTCTTGTGAATATTAAGATCAATCTCAAACTTTGGTACAGCTCGGGTTTAGCCGAGGTTAGGGCCAAATCTCATTTTATTCAATTTGAATTGTTGAACTTCAAGCAGGTTTCTGCTTACTATTGAATAGAAGATTTTTGCATAGATTTTTAGATAGATAGCCTTGTCTACAAGGCGGAGATGGTTTAACAAGATGTTGATATCTAGTAGATAGTTGTTTTCATTTCTCCGTTGTGCTGTTTTTAGATTATTTTATAGGAAGATCTTACATCCATCAATCTGGTCATCTCTTTGACCGCAATCTACCAGCCATTTGTTTCTCATCCATCTATGGTATTCAATCTATCTCTCCATTTCCATCTTTATCTTCTTCATCAT